CTGGCTCGCTATTTCTCGTGCTGTCTCTCTCTCTCTCTCTCTCTCTCTCTCTCTCTCTCTCTCTCTCTCTCTCTCGCTCTCCCTCATCCACTGCTGACTTTAATGGCTCCATTGAAGGACACATGCAGAGCAAGGAGTGTCAGGGGTGTACAGAAGGATGTTTTCCAGGGGAAGTGAGGACATCCACTACAGCTTCCCGTGGCTGATGTAACCCCCCTGAGGACCCTCGTGGAGGACATTTCTGTGTGGACTACCGGATTGGTGGTGGAGAAAAAAAGTGGCATAATTGTCGACTCCATCGATTTCCCCCCCAAGAAGGGTCCAGTGGCACCCCGCCCTGCCCCGCAGATGGTGCTCAGCCTGGCCATGGACTCCAGAGAAGATGGGGACAGCTGGATGGAGGAACAGTGGGAGAAATGGTACAGTAGTGATGCAGCCGTGTCCCCCACACGGCCTTTTTATGCTGCACTTAACTGACCTTGGATCAGCTCGTGTTCTCTGAAATAGGCCAATAGGTAGTTAGGTGTGCATGAAGGAAATTATGTAGGTTTATGGATAAAACTGAAGGTTTTGTAATTTAATGAGTATATAGTGTTTGCTTTGAGTCTTTTGTATGGTACAAAATCATAATCAAAAGATAAAGGAACGACTGTGGTGTGCAAAAAGACGTTTATAGTTATGCTAGGTTCATTCGCTGGACTGAATTCATTGTTATCATGTTAAATTGTCTTGTTCATCTTATCTATCTAGAAATGTGGGCGGCTGCACAATTGCAGGTATATAAACAGGAAGCACTGTGAATTTAGTATGTCTGAGTGCTCTTAAAGCTTAAATTGTCAGTAAACGGCTAGCTTGCAGATAGAGGGTAAGAATGCTTAAAACAATTTTATTTCTAAACCTTAGGTATAATAAATAATATTGTCATTAAGCAAGTTCATACAATGTGTTAAAAAAGCATTTACATTTAGGGGGAAAAACAGAAGAATTGTTTGTTTTTGCTTATGCTTTCTTACAACAGATTTCCATATGCGTAACATAATTCTGAAAATAACCTTTGATAAGTCTGTAATATTCTGATGTAAATTTGTTTATATATAAATATAAATTGATATAAAGGTTTATTAAATAGACTTAAATTGTAAACTTAAAGATACCTGCAGGATTACATTAAATGACTAAAAGAAACTACTTTAAAACTTTGTTTACATTTATATATCAGGGAGTAATACGCCTAGAAGTTTACAGCATTGCAGTAGTCGACGTGAAGTTATCAGATGAGTAGGAGAGCCTTGCCCTCTCTCTGTGTATGATTGTCTAGCGATGGCCTCGTGGAGAGATGACATAGTGTGTGTCACTGTCTGCGTGGGTGTGCAGGTTAACCCATGATATCAGTCTGAATGAATACGAGGATGACGACCTGTCAGAAGTGACAGAAATCACGGATGAGAACGGAATCACTCTCAGCCAGCTCGACCTCAATCCTAAAGTAAGTCTGTACCCTCAAATAAACTTACTGTAGAAATTTTAGTCCGTTTTCATAGCTGGAATTTTGGGGTAAACAAATACATTTTCATACACTCTCAGAAGAAGATACAAAAGTTGCCACTGGGGTGAACTTCTATACCTTATTTACTCCTAAAGGGTGCATATTTGTTACTTAAAAGTTCATATTAGTACGTTTTGAAAAGATACTGCCCCAGTGAAAGATTTTGGACCTATTTTCTGAGAGAGAATCATTTATTTAGGTTATTTTATTTTCAATATATTTACTTGTATATTTAAGCAATATATTTGTGATTTTCAATACTTATTTATTGGCATATATTTAGCTGAATATATATTGTGGGGTCAGGGTTTACTCTGATTTTTGGGAGGTGTGCCAAAGCACCACCTGTACATGCCTATACGGGTTAATTAACATCTGCTCTGAGCCTGTAGCTAAGCTAATCTCCAGTGGGCTAAAATCCAGCTATGAACTTACAGCTCACTACATTAGACTAGTTCAGGAGTCAAATGTTACACTTAACCTTAATTTATTTACAACTTTGAAAAATCATTTTATGTAGAAAACAAAAGATAATGTTAGGCTCTCAGTGTGCATAAAAAGAGCAGCTTGGACATTCTGTAAAACATCTCCTTTTGTTTTTTATGATCAAAACAAAGTCAAACAGATTTAAAATTACATGATGGTGAGTAAATGTAAATGATGACCAAAAAGTTAACTTTTGCATGATCTATCCCTTCCATTTTTGACCTTGTGTCCTCCCTTAATTAAAATGTATTTAAAGAGTATGATTACCGTTAATAAAGTAATCGCAGTTATCTTAATTCAAAAACAGTAGCCATCAACAGGCGGTCCCCACCACAAAGTAAAACGTGTGTGTGGTTTATATATCTCTCCACCCTAAAACCAAACAGTCACTTATCTTTCTATGAGACACAGTCTGAAGCTGAATGAGGAATCATCTGATGGTGCTGAGCCTGGTGAGCTGTTTAGCCCACAGTAAAAATAGATTTCTAGGCCAAAGGCGCATCATCATTTTCCATGTATTGCAGTCCAAATATGTGTAGAGACTGAGTATATCAGTATTCATATGAGTGAGTGAGGTCACAATAGAGGCTATTGTGTTCAGCGCCTATTAGACATGAACACTGAGGGGAGATTTCAAAGTCAATCACATCTGTTTATCTTGGATATCATCGTCTAACCATTTAAACTTAAGCAAAATCCCTCATAATTTCAAAGCCTTTTTTATGTGATTTTTCACGTCCTAACATACATTTTCATGTTAGGAAAAACTGTTTACAGACAATAAGGCAGTTTAGCTTAACTGAATGTTATAAATTCTGTGTTAATGCCAATCGCATTTGACTGTTTATCATGGATATCATCACTTCACCACTTTCTAAACCTTAGGTATAATAAATAATATTGTCATTAAGCAAGTTCATACAATGTGTTAAAAAAGCATTTACATTTAGGGGGAAAAACAGAAGAATTGTTTGTTTTTGCTTATGCTTTCTTACAACAGATTTCCATATGCGTAACATAATTCTGAAAATAACCTTTGATAAGTCTGTAATATTCTTATGTAAATTTGTTTATATATAAATATAAATTGATATAAAGGTTTATTAAATAGACTTAAATTGTAAACTTAAAGTTAGCAGAATGCCAACTGATACCTGCAGGATTACATTAAATGACTAAAAGAAACTACTTTAAAACTTTGTTTACATTTATAAATCAGGGAGTAATACGCCTAGTTTACAGCATTGCAGTAGTCGACGTGAAGTTATCAGATGAGTAGGAGAGCCTTGCCCTCTCTCTGTGTATGATTGTCTAGCAATGGCCTCGTGGAGAGATGACATAGTGTGTGTCACTGTCTGCGTGGGTGTGCAGGTTAACCCATGATATCAGTCTGAATGAATACGAGGATGACGACCTGTCAGAAGTGACAGAAATCACGGATGAGAACGGAATCACTCTCAGCCAGCTCGACCTCAATCCTAAAGTAAGTCTGTACCCTCAAATAAACTTACTGTAGAAATTTTAGTCCGTTTTCATAGCTGGAATTTTGGGGTAAACAAATACATTTTCATACACTCTCAGAAGAAGATACAAAAGTTGCCACTGGGGTGGTACCTATATTTTCAAAAGGTGAACTTCTATACCTTATTTACTCCTAAAGGGTGCATATTTGTTACTTAAAAGTTCATATTAGTACGTTTTGAAAAGATACTGCCCCAGTGAAAGATTTTGGACCTATTTTCTAAGAGAGAATCATTTATTTAGGTTATTTTATTTTAAATATATTTACTTGTATATTTAAGCAATATATTTGTGATTTTCAATACTTATTTATTGGCATATATTTAGCTGAATATATATTGTGGGGTCAGGGTTTACTCTGATTTTTGGGAGGTGTGCCAAAGCACCACCTGTACATGCCTATACGGGTTAATTAACATCTGCTCTGAGCCTGTAGCTAAGCTAATCTCCAGTGGGCTAAAATCCAGCTATGAACTTACAGCTCACTACATTAGACTAGTTCAGGAGTCAAATGTTACACTTAACCTTAATTTATTTACAACTTTGAAAAATCATTTTATGTAGAAAACAAAAGATAATGTTAGGCTCTCAGTGTGCATAAAAAGAGCAGCTTGGACATTCTGTAAAACATCTCCTTTTGTTTTTTATGATCAAAACAAAGTCAAACAGATTTAAAATTACATGATGGTGAGTAAATGTAAATGATGACCAAAAAGTTAACTTTTGCATGATCTATCCCTTCCATTTTTGACCTTGTGTCCTCCCTTAATTAAAATGTATTTAAAGAGTATGATTACCGTTAATAAAGTAATCGCAGTTATCTTAATTCAAAAACAGTAGCCATCAACAGGCGGTCCCCACCACAAAGTAAAACGTGTGTGTGGTTTATATATCTCTCCACCCTAAAACCAAACAGTCACTTATCTTTCTATGAGACACAGTCTGAAGCTGAATGAGGAATCATCTGATGGTGCTGAGCCTGGTGAGCTGTTTAGCCCACAGTAAAAATAGATTTCTAGGCCAAAGGCGCATCATCATTTTCCATGTATTGCAGTCCAAATATGTGTAGAGACTGAGTATATCAGTATTCATATGAGTGAGTGAGGTCACAATAGAGGCTATTGTGTTCAGCGCCTATTAGACATGAACACTGAGGGGAGATTTCAAAGTCAATCACATCTGTTTATCTTGGATATCATCGTCTAACCATTTAAACTTAAGCAAAATCCCTCGGGGTGAACTTCTATACCTTATTTACTCCTAAAGGGTGCATATTTGTTACTTAAAAGTTCATATTAGTACGTTTTGAAAAGATACTGCCCCAGTGAAAGATTTTGGACCTATTTTCTGAGAGAGAATCATTTATTTAGGTTATTTTATTTTCAATATATTTACTTGTATATTTAAGCAATATATTTGTGATTTTCAATACTTAGTACCTATATTTTCAAAAGGTGAACTTCTATACCTTATTTACTCCTAAAGGGTGCATATTTGTTACTTAAAAGTTCATATTAGTACGTTTTGAAAAGATACTGCCCCAGTGAAAGATTTTGGACCTATTTTCTAAGAGAGAATCATTTATTTAGGTTATTTTATTTTAAATATATTTACTTGTATATTTAAGCAATATATTTGTGATTTTCAATACTTATTTATTGGCATATATTTAGCTGAATATATATTGTGGGGTCAGGGTTTACTCTGATTTTTGGGAGGTGTGCCAAAGCACCACCTGTACATGCCTATACGGGTTAATTAACATCTGCTCTGAGCCTGTAGCTAAGCTAATCTCCAGTGGGCTAAAATCCAGCTATGAACTTACAGCTCACTACATTAGACTAGTTCAGGAGTCAAATGTTACACTTAACCTTAATTTATTTACAACTTTGAAAAATCATTTTATGTAGAAAACAAAAGATAATGTTAGGCTCTCAGTGTGCATAAAAAGAGCAGCTTGGACATTCTGTAAAACATCTCCTTTTGTTTTTTATGATCAAAACAAAGTCAAACAGATTTAGAATTACATGATGGTGAGTAAATGTAAATGATGACCAAAAAGTTAACTTTTGCATGATCTATCCCTTCCATTTTTGACCTTGTGTCCTCCCTTAATTAAAATGTATTTAAAGAGTATGATTACCGTTAATAAAGTAATCGCAGTTATCTTAATTCAAAAACAGTAGCCATCAACAGGCGGTCCCCACCACAAAGTAAAACGTGTGTGTGGTTTATATATCTCTCCACCCTAAAACCAAACAGTCACTTATCTTTCTATGAGACACAGTCTGAAGCTGAATGAGGAATCATCTGATGGTGCTGAGCCTGGTGAGCTGTTTAGCCCACAGTAAAAATAGATTTCTAGGCCAAAGGCGCATCATCATTTTCCATGTATTGCAGTCCAAATATGTGTAGAGACTGAGTATATCAGTATTCATATGAGTGAGTGAGGTCACAATAGAGGCTATTGTGTTCAGCGCCTATTAGACATGAACACTGAGGGGAGATTTCAAAGTCAATCACATCTGTTTATCTTGGATATCATCGTCTAACCATTTAAACTTAAGCAAAATCCCTCATAATTTCAAAGCCTTTTTTATGTGATTTTTCACGTCCTAACATACATTTTCATGTTAGGAAAAACTGTTTACAGACAATAAGGCAGTTTAGCTTAACTGAATGTTATAAATTCTGTGTTAATGCCAATCGCATTTGACTGTTTATCATGGATATCATCACTTCACCACTTAAACTTCAAAATCCCTCATTTATGATTTCACAACCTCTTCTATGCAATAGTTAGTATCATAGCATAAATGTTTATGCTTAGAAAAGCTGCATTTGAAGGCAATAAAGCAGTTTAGCATAATTGGACAATGTGATTGATCAAAAATCCCTAGTTTATGATTTTGCAACATTTTTATGTGACTATTACTGTCATAACATAAGTGTTTATGCTAAGAAAAGCTGTGTTTAGTGACAAGAAGGCAATTTAGTGTAATTTATAACGTTCAGTCACATCTGCCAATTTGTCATGGATATCATCATCTGACCACTTAAACAAAAATCCATAATTTATGATTTCACTACGCTTTATATGTAATAATTAGCACCACATAACATAATGCTAAGAAAAGCTGCGTTAATAGATAAGGCAGTTAGCATAGCATAATTGGCTTTGACAAAGAGAGAATTTATAATATTCAGTCACATTTGATGGTTTAACATGATCAAGACAAGAAGGCAATTTAGCATAATGCTTTTGTCACAGGGAATTCAAAACATGTTCAGTCACATCATGATTTTCATCGTCTGACTAAAACAAAAATATCTCTTTTTAAGATTTCACTACCCTTATTATGCAATGATTGGCATTATAAGAAAATGTGTCAAAAGACAGAGGTTCAGCGTAATTGTCTTTGACAGAATTTGTAACATGTTCAATAACATCTGACTGTTAGCATGGATATCATTATCTATCTAATAGCTAAAATCCTTCATTTTTGATTTCCCAGCCTTTTAATGTGATAACTGACATGGTATTTATGGTAAGAAGAGCTGCGTTTAAATACAATAAGGCAGTTTAGCATAATTAAACATAATTTCTCTCCTCGTCATTTCTGGGTGTGTTTATTTTGCTTATGTCGCGCGACACGCCTCATTGTTCTCTGGGATTGAATTAGCTTTCCTTACAGCAGCCAGGAAGGGAGCCACAGGCTGATGTCATCACCGCGCTCTGATTGGCCGGCTGCGTCTGACTGCAGCTCCTTTGCTCTCGCCTCTAAAGCTCTGCTGCCTGCTCTTCCCAGGATCACATGACTCAGCCGACCAATGGCACGCCGAGGAGCGGCCGGAGGAGGAGGGTGGTGGAGCTGCAGACGGAGATGCTCCACTTGGACCTGATTGATGCAGAAGAGGAGGAAGAAGAGAACGAGAGGCGGCCAGTTGATGCCGTCGATGACAACCACAAGGAAGAGCAGGGCGCAGGGCCGCCTGTCACTCAGCCTCAGCTAACGGATTTCATCCCTGCCGTTGCCATGGATACATACCGGCCCAAGAGACCCACCACCCTGAATCTTTTCCCCCAAGTGCCAAGGACTCAGGTGAGACGGACAGTTTTGGCAGCGGCCTACGGTCTTTAAGAGGCTTGCAATTACGTCCGAGGCAGATGGACGGGGATTAGAAATTGTTTTACAGTAAAAGTGATGATTTCCATACTGCACAAACAGGATCTCGAGTGTTTTTTTCAGTGTGTATGCAAATCGGTGGCATGTAGCGTTCGGGTTTCTTTGATACTCCCGGCCGGTGATGCTGATGACGTTTCCTGTTTGTGAGCTCCCGCTCTGCCCACCTGCTATGAATCACTGCTGTCCACCCTCCGTGCGTAATGCAATCCGACAAGAAAGAGTGAGAGTGGATCGTTACTGTTGACCTGTGAGGGTCAAACAGCAGGGGGCGGCACTTTGTGTCGATTTGAACAAAATATAATGAGGTGGGATGTCATATGTGGCACTGTTTTTGAACGGGTTGTGATTTGACATTTTTGGGATAGCTACTGTAGATAACTTGTTGATCTATATATAATGTTGGAAGAGACTGGGGCATGTTGTCACAGTTTTTACTCCTTGGAGTATTTCTAGGCTTCGTTAGTTAACATTTCCAACATTACTGTCCTGGAAAAAGACATTGTGTGACAACATTCCCCAATGGAAAAGCAACATACTCTGACCTGACAAGAGTAGCTTTATGATGTTCAGAAATGTGATACTGGAATTTTAGTTGTGACAACTAAGCCCTGATCTCCATTATGCATTTCTGAAGCACTAAAATTAGGTGTTATATGACAAACTGTTTTGAGCTCTTTAATTAACTACAGTTTGCCCTTAATATTAAATGTCCCAATTTATTCTATTTTACAAAACACACTTTTAAATGTCAATAATGATAATTACAGACATTATAAATGGGTTAAAATGTATTATTATTACTGCACATAATCTAACCTAGTGTTGTTATTTTTAAATCAAAGTAAAACTATTAAAAATAGTTTGTGTTAATTGAAATGAAGCTAAAATCAAATCAATATTACATAAAAAATTTAAATGCTGCCTTAACTAACTGAAATACGTTTAAGACCCAATATTACTAAACTATATATATATATATATATATATATATATATGTGTGTGTGTGTGTTAAATAAATATTATTAAATATTATTTTATATATATATATATATATATATATATATATATATATAAACACTGATATTACTTTAGTCTTTAAGAGTCCTCTCTCTCTGAATTTTGAAGTGCATCATGGGTAATGAGGCTAAGGAAACTAAATGATTTAAGTAATGGCCCAGCACTGATCTCCTGAAAACACTTCCAACCCAGACTGTACTGAACTTAAAATTACCTTTTCAATTTTCTCTGTTACTGCAATAGGATTTGGTTATGCTGCTTGCTGTAATTTCCTATATTGCCCCGAGTTGTATCAAAAAGACATTTATAATTATAAATATTCTAGATATAATGGTTATATGCGTATTTTCAACTCAGTTTAAATGCATAAATAAATACTGTCTCTGAATCATTTACTCACCCTCATGTCAATCCAAACAAAGGGAGATATTTTGTTTAATGTTCCAGCTGCACTATAATGTATATTAAAAGTGTCAAAAAAGTACTTTATTCCAGATCTTCTGAAGGCAAACAAAAACACATCTCATTCTTGATTTAATACAGGTCAATAAAGTTTTGGAATGATATGAGGATGAGTAAATGATGAAAGAATGTTTATCACTTTAACCTGTGCTGAGCTAAAAATGCACATTTAACACGATGCAGTTGTTCTGTAGTAATTGGATAACAATATTTACCATCTTATAGCATTAGTGCTGGCCAGTCTAGTGTCCCGAATTCCCAAATCACTGGATGTATTAAAACCGATGGTCTTTATAATTAAGACTTGCAAAACCCAGTTTGTATTATATCTAATTATTTTGACAACTGGTTATTATGAAGTTGACAGTTGCTTGTGTGAAAAAAACTGCTTTTGCTTGAATATTTGAGCACATTGAATCATATCCAGGTCGGCAGACCGTTTTACAACCAGAGAAGATGGTGGATGACTGTAAATATGCTTCCCTGTCTTTAATCTTATAATCTTGGCTTGTTGAATCTCTCCACGTCTGCAGCATTGGCACAGCCACTGGGCTCAAAGGGCATTTGAGGAATTAGCAAAGAGCTTTTCTACAGAAAGTGAACAGAGTTATTGGGTAATACAAGTAAAACCGCGAGAAGTCTACTCTAAAAATATCTACATTGTGATGGAAATATTTCAGCTAGCAAGCTAGAGGCCAGGGTGTTGGCTGAAACCCTCAGAATCAATGTGAAGCACTACTGACAACCAATTTCTATTACTTTTGTAATATTGTAACATTTTTAAGTGAAATGGGATATTAAACCATTAAAAATGTACAGACTTGATTTTACAAGGAAATATAATTATTTTAATTTCATGGCATACCTGAATGGAATTGGATGGCATCCAGAAAGGAAGGTTGTTTTAGATGCGGAGCATTAGAAAGTTATTTTCATTTTGTTAAAAGACTGTAAATAGCTTAATTAAAGGGATAGTTCACCCAAACATGAAAATCCTGTCATTAATTACTCACCCTCATGTCGTTCTAAATCCGCAAGACCTCCGTTCATCTTCGGAACACAAATTAAGATATTTTTTATTAATTCTGTGAGCTCTCTGACTCTGACCCTCCTATAGACAGCAATGTAATTACCACGATCAAGGTCCAGAAACATAGCAAGGAGATCTGTAAAATAATCCATGTGGTTCAACCGTAATATTACGAAGCTACGAGAATATTTTTTGTACGCAAAGAAAACAAAAATAACGACTTTATTCAACAATTCATACGGATACGTTGTTTTCATTCGAATCAAAGCGTAAACAACATAAAAAACGTATCCGTGTGACGCAGCTGAATCAGAATAGCATACGCTGTTTACGTTCAGTGGATACTCTCCAAAATGGCACCAGGGTGAGGCGGAGGAGACGAATTGTTGAATAAAGTCGTTATTTTTGTTTTCTTTACATACAAAAAGTATTCTCGTAGCTTTGTAAAATTACTGTTGAACCACTGATGTCACATGGATTATTTTACCGATCTCCTTGCTACATTTCTGGACCTTGATCATGGTAATTACATTGCTGTCTATGGGAGGGTCAGAGAGCTCTCAGAATTCACCAAAAATATCTTAATTTGTGTTCCGAAGATGAACGGAGGTCTTACGGGTTTAGAACGACATGAGGGTGAGTAATTAATGACAGAATTTTCATTTATGGGTGAACTATCCCTTTAAAACATGCTGCCATTTTGTTTGGTTTAAAGACCTGATTAAATGAATTAACATTCTTTTTTTTTTTCTTTTGTTGACATTTTCTATTGAAGCTGTATGTTTGGGCAGAAGTAGTCCCTTTAAAAAAATAGACAATTACCTTTTTTTATGTTATTAAGTTTATGTTATTAGCTTTATAGACATTCCTACACTAGAAAGCATCTAATTGGACAAAACAATGTAGTGCAGGATGAGTCATCAATATTTTACAACCATGAATATGTATTTTAAATCTGCTAAAGTAACTTTTAGGAGTATATTAGAATAAGATATATATTACATTAGCATATAGATAACTGTGTATATTTACATTTACATTTAGTCATTTAGCAGATGCTTTTATCCAAAGCGACTTACAAATGAGGACAATGGAAGCAATAAAAATCAACAAAAGAGCAATGATATACAAGTGCTATAACAAGTCTCAGTTAGCTAAACGCAGTACACGTAGCAAGGGTTTTTTAAATAATATAATAAATAAAAAAGAAAACAGATAGAATAGAGCAAGCTAGTGTTAGAGGTCTTTTTTGATTTTGTTAATTGTATAATAAATGAAAAGAAAACAGACAGAATACAAAAAGATTAGAAAGCGAGTTAGTTTTTTTTTTTTTTAAGAAAACAAGCAGCAAATGAATAGAGTGCAAGTCTAAAAGGGACAAGTGTTTTTTTTAAAGAATATAATTAGAATAGAGAGTGCTAGAGTTAGAGGGTCAAATAAATATGGAAGAGATGTGTTTTTAGCCGATTCTTGAAGATGGCAAGAATTGAAGATTGAGTTGGGCAGGGTCATTTACACCAGGAGGGAACATTTAATTTAAAAGTCAGAAGAAAAAAAAAACATAACATAAATAAAAACATAACATAGTCAAAGTGTATATAGCATATAGATAACAGTATGTATAACTGTCAATTCTTTGAGATGCCTTTCTCAAATTTCAATGTCATATTTTTTTTTCCTGCAGAGATAAAGATTACTTAGTTTCTAATCTGATACAGTGATAGACTGAGACAGGCTCCGTTTAATAAACTAGATAGCAATGAACTGTGGGATCGAGTTTCTTCCATCTGGTTTCTTTCCTCATACCGTTTTTAGTGTCACTAAATAAGAGCATCATATTAGCCATCTGTGTCTTCCTACTCCGTCACGAACACCACTGTGTGTTCCCATCTACCCCCACACTTACGCACACACAGACACTCTCTCTCAAGCATGCCAATTCCTGCATCATCGATGGGCGCATTGCTATGGCAACATAGGAGTGTCAGTGTTAAAGGTGCATTATAGCAGTGTGGTCAATTGGTGAGTCAGCATCAGGAAAAAGCAGTAAATCTATCGGTCAGATTGCTCTTCCTGTAACTCTCTCTCCTTTTATGGATTGTTGTCAAATACAGTTTCTATTTCTTTTCACTATAGAAAAGCTCCTAAAATGTGGTGACAATGAGTAATGCTGGCAAAATCACATGATTTATCCAAGATGGAGGGATGTACACGTCAGTTTTAGTTTTTTTTTTATTTTATCATATTTAGATATATATATTTTTTGTAAGTGTTAATCTCAACAATACTGGTCTAAATCTCTCAGCATTTTGTTTATTAAAATCTATCCCTCATTCATTTTACTTTAATTGCAGGACACAATAAATAACAATTCCTTTAGTGAGAAAGAACGGAGGAAAGAAAAGAAAACCCATTCTTCATCACCACACATTAAGGGTGAGTAATGGCCATGCACACCACACAAATGAACATGTCTGAAGAATTTCTGAGACTTGAATTTTCCAAACAAGTAATTTTTCATAATCACCTTTATGCATTAGAGGAACTACCATAAATGAAAGAAATACAAGTTGTAGGTGTATTGTTGTTCATAATTGTAGGTGTTTTTGTAGTATTCGCTTCCATGGAATGAAAATGTGTTTGTGTTGTAATTAACTTAATGGGATTTTCATCAATCTACTTACCCAGAGAGTTCATCAGATTTCTGCTAGTAACTCCTAGTATGAAAAAAGGCTTGGATACTGTAAAGCTAATCTGTTTATTTTTTTGTTGAAATACATTTATGAGTTTAAATACTATGGCTTTGTCCCAATTTGGATGGGTTCCCTATATACTAAAATTATATGCTTCCCTGATGATGGGAAATTTGCATTTGGCATATGTAAGCATTAGCACTTACCTAAATGTTGTATGAAATGAAAATTCACACTATTTTACAAACCCATGGTTTTGATCTTATTGTGAACAATTCATGCATGTTTGACTTTTCTCTTTTTTTCTTCTCATATTGCCTTGTAATTCTTAATCAAAATGTCATAACTGGATGTTTTTCTGGTGACAAACTTCTCCAATTAAGATCTGCCACCATCCCAACCGATGGATTGAAATAAGTTTTCGATAATGTGTTTCACTAGAATGCACATCACAATATGGATGAAAATACTGTCGCTACTTCCATTGCAATATGATTTTAAAATTCATTACTATTTTAATTTTACGTTTTACGTACATTTGGTGCTGAGGAGGCTTTAATCTCATATTATTTGCTGGTACCTTTCTTCAGTTGACAAAATGACACTTCAACTCCATATATTATACCATATATCATATATTCACCTTCTATATTCGTTTAAAAGCCATCAAGACTGATTACTTCTTGTTCAGAGTGAAACTTAGCATTTTGCATGACTTTTAATATGGCTTCAGATGTGTTCCTCCATTAGGCTTATTGCCTAATGTATAATCTTCTGTGTGTGCGAAACAGGAGATCCGGTGGCCAAACCTGAGCAGGTTAGCCTGACCGATGGGGACAAAGTTCAGGCCAGGGTGGACACCAAACCAAGGGGCCCTGCCTCCTCCACGAACAAAGCCTCCACCTTTCACACCAAGAAGAAGGACAAGTTTTCTGAGTCTTTGAACAACCCCAATGTGGTGGTGCCCCTCACGCAGACGGTCATGAGGGAAAAATCCACGGAAGTGACCCTGATAGAGGGTGTCCTTGACATGCCGACCATTTGCAAGCAAAAAGCCCAGTCTCACACCGCCAGCAGCTATCGGGAACAAGTGCAGTATCCTGCGGAGAATGAAGGTACATGTGACCAGTTGGTCGACAAAAACAAGGACTTTCACATTTCGGAAGGAAATGCAACAGAGGAGATCCACCTCACGCCAGTCAACGGTGAACAAGAGCGACCATTTCTGTCCCAGAGCAGCGACAGCAACCGCATGTCCATTAGTTCGGACACGGAGCTTCCTCCCCTTCACTACTACCCATCGGCGGGTTGTCCGAACCCCTCCATTAGCGAGGAGGATGAGGTGTACCCACCCACGCCCCCATGCCGGACTGTCAGCCTCAGTGACGCGGGGGACGCAAGTAAGTGGGCTGAAACCCACAAGCCTAAAGTGGCGAAGGAGGACACAGGGAACTTAAAGGCGGTGGCGGTCAGCACGGATGCTTCAGGACTGACGTATGACTCCGTTAAGTACACCCTGGTGGTGGATGAGCATGCTAAGCTCGAGCTAGTGAGTATTAAGGACTGCTACAAAGGATACGAAAGTGACAGTGACAATACTGTCTACGAGTCTGCTATTGACGAGGACGAGGAGGATCAGGAAGTGGATGAAGAGGAGGAAGAGTCGGGAGGGAGGGGCATGAGGAGAGACACTTCCTGTTTGTCTGCAGACTCCACCACAGACACCACCTCAGACATGCCCCGTTCCCGCAAGTTCATGAACATCTTTGTGAATGGACTGTCACGTTTCTCTGGTGAGTAATAAGAGCTGATTTGGAATTTGGAAAATAAGAATACATTTAGAATTTATTTGTAAAAAATTCATTTTCTTAACATAGAGGTTGTTGCAAATGTGCACAGATATTAATTATTTAAGTACTCTAAAATCCATTTAGCCATTTCTTGAGGCTGCTGGGGTATTTCGGATACTTTTGACCGTGAAACACTTCCATTGTCCCCAATGCCTAGTTTATGAGTTTATTTTTTGGCTTCTGATATGTTACAATAAACTTGAAAAATAAAAAAAAATACATCTGATACAGAAATGTATCCAAAATCAATTTAAAGTGGCAGTTGTGCAGCAAAAAGGGCCATGTGCTCCCAGTAGATGACGGTTTTATCTCATAACCTGTCCTATAAAGGGGTTGAACATGCAATATAATTTTAAAAAAAAATGTATGGCTTATACATTTATAAAAATTAGCTCTTCATGTAAAGCTAAACATCCATTAACCTTATATATTCAGTGGATACACCAAATGAAGGCTAGGGCAGTGTGAAAAGGGCTCAGAAGGAATGGCAAAGTGCCAAGGGTTGAACCTTGTGGCACCCCTTCAGTAATACATCTGCCAACGCTTTGCAAGAACTACAGATTTTCCTCATTAATAGGTTTGCTAATATCAGACCCACCTTTCACCAGCCAGGATCAAGATGATGAAATTCAGCCAGCAGTTCCTACCCAAATTTGTCTCTATCCTTTGTTGTGACAATGAACGTTTGTTCTCCCACTCAGGTGCTGAGTTTGGATTCTTCTCCTGTGTTATTAATGGAGAGGAAAGAGAACAGAGCCACAGAGCAGTGTTCAGGTAAGGATTCGATCAAATCCTTGATACACTATTTAAAAAAAAAATAGAAAGTAACCAAGTGACTTAAAAGAGATATTGAAACATATCCCAGCCAAGAAAGTTTCAGGCCTTTTTAAAATTAAGCCTATTTTTGGGACCATTATTATTATTTATTTTTCTGCTTTTTTGACAGTTACGCAAATAAAACATACTGCAATACATTTTACTGTATTTATTTATTATTATTATATTTTTAATGTGCTAAATTGTCGTGAAAATAATGTTACAATGCAACTAAAAGAACTGTCCTAAAAAAGTCAACATTTTATTTTGTGAAATTCACCTAAATACAAACTACAGTGAAACCAGATGACAGCCCTAAAAAATAAAAAAAAAGAGTACTAAGACATATCTTACTACGCAAATACACTCTTAAAAATAAAGGTGCTTCATAATGCCATAGAAGAAACTTTCTGTTTCACAAAAGGTTCTTTGTGGCAAAAGAAGGTTAAAAAGTGAAAAAAGTGACGTGACATGTGGCCAAGTATGGTTACCCATACTAGGAATTAGTTCTCTGCATTTATCCCATCCTAAGTGCACACACACAGCAGTGAACACACACACACCATGAACACACATCCGAAGCAGTTCTTCAGATTATAAAAAGGTAAGAAAGAGATTAAAAAAAAGCTTTCTTTAAAAATTCTTTAAAAAAATTCTTTAAAAAAGCTTTGACTGAATGGTTCTTTGTGGAACCAAAAATGGTTCTTCTATGGCATCGCTGTGAAGAACCTTTTAAGCACCTTTATTTTTAAGAGTGTATATAGTTTGTTCAGAGAGACACTCTACTCTTGGGTGGTACCCTAAACCACTTTTTTCTTTTCTTTTCTTTTTTTTTTTTACCTGAGCACTCTTAATTTTGGCTTATTTACAGGTTTATTCCTCGCCATGATGATGAGTTGGAGATGGAGGCGGATGACCCCTTATTGGTTGAGGTGCAGGCCGAGGATCTTTGGTGCGAGGCCTACAACATGCGCACTGGATCCAGAGGCATCTTCCCTGCATTTTATGCCGTCAAGGTGACAAAGGATGAGCTTGTTAAAGGTAAATCTTGGCTTTGCTATAGTATTTTAAGTATCTGAGCGTTTGTTTCTTGTGCATTGAGGAATAATGGCCTTCTCTGTCTGCTGTGATTTATTCAGAGGTCAAAAGTGACTGGATGGACAAATTCTGGGTAAAATTCCTTGGTTCTGTTCAAGTACCGTATCACAAAGGGAATGATGTGCTTTGTGCCGCCATGCACAAGGTATACTAATCCATTTTTGCATTATAATTCTGCCTTTGATTTCCATATACTTACATAATAACTACAATGAAATGATGTTGTTCATATTTAATCTGAAGTTCATATGAAATCTGATTATGTCAACAGATAGCATCAAACAGACGAACAACAATGCAGTTCAGCCCCCCTTCACCTTGCATTCTGGAAATCAACACAAGAGGATTGAAAATCATTGTTCAAGATGACTGTCGGACTTCTGGAAGGGTTTGTATACTGTATTCTTCTTAAAACAAATAAGCACAAGGGTCATTCCTGTCATGCAGTACCTTTACAAACCTCAAACGTTTAAAAAAAATCGTTGTTATTTTATAATTTATGGTAGTAATTCAATAAGGCTTGAGGGTGTCAATTTACTTTAATAAAAATTGATGATGATATGAAATAGCATAGTAGGAATTCATAAAAATTGATATTTGAACTCAAGGTCAAATAATTCCTTCTGCCTTGGCTTCATATTTTGGCTAGATGTTGCCACCATAAGGCTCTTTCACTCAACTGTGCTCTGTGACGCAACATATTCAGTCCCACAGCTATGCAATGAAGCATCTTAAGACCGAATGGTAATCTGTAGCCATAATGTGGGGGGATCTCGCCCCCTAAGCCCCTGTGAGTGAATTAGTGAACGTGCTCAGTGATGTAAATCACAGGGTTCAGGAGTTAAGCACACATACTACGACGACCTCGCACCACACTGACATCATGTGGCTGCAGCTTACACTAATGTGTTTCAATCCCTGCTGCTGATTAGACCACTCAGTCTTTCTTTCCATATTTTACAGGGTGAGAAGTGCTTTCACTTTTTTCAGTTGAAAAACATCTCCTTCTGTGGGTGCCATCCGAAAAACAAGAAGTGAGTTTGAACAGAAAATCATGGTTTCTCTCAAAATGCTATTATTAGGTCCTTTCTATCAATTTTGACTAGTTCTCAAGTGAAAATAAGTGAATTAGGGGTTAAATAAATGTATAAAATACTTTAAATTAATTTTAATATTCATTTTAATAAATGTAATAATATTTAATAAATGTTGAAAACAGTTGTGCTGCCTAATATTTTTGTAGACATGTTCTCAGGGCTCTTTGATAAATAAATTTAGATGAATAAAATTCTTAATTTGGGACTGAGAGTTTGTGGTCACTTATTTAAAGCTGTAAATACAATAACTCAATGTTTACCCATCTACAATGCCCCCTACAGGGAAAAAGAGAACATACAAAAACAACAATAAAGCCACATTCTGGACAGTAAATACTCCATCATTTGTTTTTTCAGGTATTTTGGAGTAATAACGAAACATCCAGCATACCAGAGATTTGCCTGTCATGTGTTCTTCTCAGATGATACAACCACGAAACTGGCTGAATCTATAGGGTGAGTTGTTCTCTAGTCATTTAAAGATCCCACAAACACAATTTTCTTTTTTGATTTACTGTTGAAACACTAACTCAAATATTTAGGAACATATCCTACTCATTTAACATACTGCTTTTTACATATTGCTGTATACAGAAATACATATACAGAAGTATACATAATTATTTGCTAGTTAGTTGCAGGGCATATCATCTTCAATTTAGTAAGCCATTTGATTAGACAATAAATAAATAAATAACAATTTAATTGGACAAAAAAAGTAATTACTTATTAATTTTATGGTCCATTTTCCCAGAAAGAGAGATTTTTTACATCATCTTTTATCAAAAGTCAGCTTTTAGTTGTATGCTAACATACAGATAATCTCAGGGCTAATAGATATGAACTAAGGACCACAAAATGTTGATTTTCATTTTGTGAGAATATGGATCTTTTTGCTAATTGGATTAAAATAATAGAATCTTTCTGTTGATTGGTCAAAAAAGAAAATAGAGTGCAACCGTGCCTTTCCACTTTAAAATTTTCACATAGTGAAATGAACTAAACCAGCCAGTTACAAGGTGAATCACATTGTTAAAAAATTTTGATTTGAAGCCAAGCCAAGAAGTATTTAAAAATTGGACCAAAAACAAAGGTGCAAGACTATGTGGCTTTAGTTAGGGGAAAGAACTACAATCCCATTAAGCATTATGAATGACAATCAAATTAAAAACAATAGGCCTAGAGAAATAAAAAATATTGATTTTAAAATGTTGACTTCACATGAAGATAAGTAGTTTGAGAGCACAGGAAGATTGTACTACTTTTGGTGCAATTTGTCGCTAATCTCTGATTGGAGGAGATTCTCTGAAGAATCATGGGTAATGTAGTTTTTCACCAGGAATTCTGTTGTTAAATATGATTAAGAAACAATTTAAAATTATGCAGGCTGATGGCTTTAACAAAAGCGTATACCAGCGATTAACAACAACATAGCTTAAAGTAGGTCTCTCTTTAATGATTTATAAGTTATCGTTAAAAATCAACTCTCCTAGAAAATGAATGGAATTTTTACTTTCAAAACCTGGTTCTGTTCCTGAGTCAATTTTTTGAAAGCACAAATAAAAGCAAAACTCATTCTACATCTAAAAATCACATCTAGACCTTCCAAAAGTGCTATTAAAATATGACTTTAGTGCATATAATATAGATATGTATATAAAAAAATACTTTTGTTTTTACAGGAAAGCTTTTCAGCAGTTCTACAAAGAACATATGGAATATTCCTGTCCAACAGAAGACATCTTCCTCGAATGACCTTCAGTCTATTCATATTTTTCCATTATCACATACTATATGAGGTGTCGCATGATGGTGGTTTTGAGCCTCTTTGTAACATGTTATGTTGATGATATAATGTTGATGTCTATTTTAGACAAATGTTAAAATCGAAAACAGATATCAGCTACAGCGCAACTACTTTCACATTGTACAACTCGAGTATTACTGACTGGTGTAAAGCCTTACGAAGTTTAATAACAAAAAAAAAAAATTTGATGTGACTTGTTAAAATCATTTGTGCGAAGTTTGGTTTTGAATTCATTCGAAGCACAATGTTTGATGGATGAAACAACATAAGACAGAAAGGAGATCTTAAAACAACTGTATGTACGTTTTTTTACCTTGAAATATCAGTTTCAAAATCTTCCAGATGGCTCACTTAATCTGAGGCGAATGGTTTCTGATTCTTTCCCGCGCTCCTCCACAAACGCCTGGGAATTTGGTAAGCAGGTACTAAATACGCGAAAAGGGCGGATTCCTTTACGGCAGCAACAAATGCACGTGTACAGATGTTGACTGTAATTACGACAGCGAATTTCACTCTTTTAACTGTAGGGGGCTCCAAAGTCGCATAAATACGCATACAGTTGCTTTAAAGCTAGACTGGATCCCAAAATTAAAGTTTATCTGAAACCAAAGCTTTCCTGGGCCATGTCCTTCTTCACTCAAAATGGAAGAACCATGTAATTGAATGCAGCCCAGTCTGTCCATCTAGTGTCCCACTATGCGAAACCCCAGGTTAAAAAACACTTTCCAATGTTTCTCACATCGTTTTGAAAGCACCGCTTTGAACCCAAGGTTATGAAACCGTGATCCAGAGCATTGCTGTGCCACAATTTCAAGTGTTGTATGTTAAATAGGGTAATTGCTGCTGTTTATCTTCAGTCACTTGCGCACTACAGAATCTCACAAATACAATATGGCATCCATGCTCCGTGCTTTTTGTTTTTTGGTTCTCGTATTTAATGTTAATGTGTGCTTATATTCCCATGTGTTGCTCTGTTAAACAGAGCGTAGTCTGGGCTTATTCGCATTCTGCTTCAATCTCAGTATCCCTGACGTATGTAGCTGTGAAAACCAAATAATTTTCTTTTTACATATTATATAAGATATCTTATTTATAATTATATTGAAATGGAAAGATCATAAAATATATTATTCTGGCAATTGAAAATATATACGGAGAGGACTTATATGGTGCTGAGGAATATGGCTGTCTGGTTATGAAAAATGTGTTCTTTCTCAATTGTTTCCCCCTAGATACAAAAAGAAAGGTTTTAAAGCCAAGGCCTAAAATGGACCCATCTTCACCAGTCCTTTCAAAATGGCACATCCTCACAGCATGCGCATACCTAATATGCAATATTCACTAAACAAGCAAAGTTTTCATTGAATAGATCAACAGGCCAAATGGTTTTCCGTAGAACAGTTTTGAAGATGTTTTGCATGGTATGGCCATTTTGAAAGGTGGTATTCAGTTAATAGGACCATTTGTGTCTGCAAAAAATATCTGCGAACCAATCCTGAAAAATCACAAGTTGTGCCTATTTCATTTATCACTGTACATTGTTTTGTTTTGCTTTTTGAATGATCACATGTCTTCTGTGGAACCCATAAAGTTAAATCCCATTTGTAAATGGATTGTCCTGGAGTGTAATTATTAAAAGTGTGTGTGTGTGTGTGTAATTCACATATTGTGAAATATAATTACAATTTTAAATAATTGTTTTGTATTTTAATATGTTTTAAAATGTGATTTATTCCTGTGTTGCAAAGCTGAATTTTCAGCATCATTACTCCAGTCTTCAGTGTCACATGATCTTTCAGAAATCATTCTAATACACTGATTTGGTGCTTAAAAAATGATCAGTGTTGAAAATTTCAAAAGGACAACATTTATTGTAAACATATATATTTGTAACAATGTAAAAGTCAAAAGGTCTTAACTTTTTAAAGCATTCTTCCTGAATAAAAGTTAATGTAATATTTTTAAAATATTACTGATTTTACTTATGTTTGTTTAGTTAAACTCAATTTTATATATACCTTATTGCACTCAAATATTCTTTGGGTTAAGTTCATCACAGACCAGTTACTCAACTACTGAATGTTTATTTTATGCAACCGTCATATAAACAAGAAGTTAATATAAAATAATTATAATTTCAGACAATATGGCTGTCCAATTTATTTATTTATTTTTGCTTCAGCAACAGAAGTAGTTGGGTTACAGAGACGCCCACAGAACTAGAAAGTAGTGAATACAGACAGCATACATCAGCACTATTGAAACGCCATTTTCTAATCAAATTAGTGAACCTGCACTAACAGTTGTCAAAAAAAATCATAAAGATGCTAGCAAGCAGGTCTGTGCATGTTAATTCTCAGAAGAGTCAGTCTCCTCTGTAGAACCGTTGCTCTCCATTTCGATCCTCTTGCGTTGGTGCAGGGACTTGCGCGGTGAGGCCTTCTTGGACATTTCCTTCTGTCCCACAGCGCTGCTGCTGCTATTGTTGGACGTCGGGCTGATGGCGACTTGAGCTATGCTGGAAGAATCACAGAAACATGTTGTCAAATGCAAGTACATTAGCTTTAATAAAAGTGTTATTATAAAAATATAAAAAGGATTGTTAGCAAGCTCTCCGTCTTTTAATAACACACGGTTTATAGTTAACCAGCAAGTGACTGTAATATACTCTTTGAGCAAGTCCGTCTCTCTCAGTCTCTCCAGCTCCTGGTCCATCTCTGGATCAATCAGCAGGTCCAATTTATTGGGAAGAGCACCTGATAAATAAATGGCACAAGATAAAGCATTCAGTTTATATTTCGAATTAATAAAAGTTACAAGTATTCAGAAATACATTTAAGCATCATCTAATGCTCACCGATGTCTTGGTTTACTCCTTCATGTTTGGCCGAGCCAAGGCCATCTGGAAGCCATAGAAAGATACTCGCTGACTGCTCTCTAAGATCTCCTTAATGGCAACAGTGGAAGGAAACCTGGGAAAATTAAATCACTATCATATTCTAGTAGTAAAGATGGCTATAGTGGGTGCTATTAAATTTAGTGATAAACAAGTTACTACATAAGCATACTACTATAATTGTATTTAAATATAGATGCAATCATTCAAATGTAATTTAAATATAATTATATATTTAAAGGTCACATATTATACACCTTTCTGGAGTTTTATTTTAGGTTTTGATGTCCTTAAGAATATATATTTGCGGTATAAGTACCAAAAACCATCTATTTACAGCTCCTTTCTCAGGAGCTCTACTTTCAACAGGTCGATTTTGGCCTGTATAATTAATATTCATGAGCCTCTCTTCTGATTGGCCTGTTGCTTTCTGAGTGACGCAAGGCCAGGCCAACCACAGGTAACTAGGTTCATGTATGCTGTAGCCTGCTATGGCAAATAGAAAAATAGAAACACCTGTAATGATGGCCACTGCTGAGGGAAATGTTTTCCGGTCTTACATGTTTTAGCCGGACTCAGACCCCGAATCAGTGACGGCAGGCGACAACCAACCACCTCATCAAATGTGCTTACAACATGATGTTTCAGAATTTTCCAAAAAACCAATGCAGTAATCTACGTAACTATTGCTTTCCTACTTATACAACATGTCAGCGTTGCATAACCGTTTACAAACTATAATTTCAGATTATGCAGGCTCCATAATGTAACAGTTTGTAATAATGTAATAATGAAGTTTACTTATGGGTTGCGGACATTACATAATGCCTGTTATATTACAGTACATAAAATTTCACTTACCACATAAACAGAGTAAGGAGAGATGACTGAGGACGATGGCGAATTGCAGATCCTGAGCACCTCTGACAAACATCTAATCTTGTAAAATGTGTGGTAAGTACTGCCGCTCCATAGTATAAAGAAAGTATGTGCGATTACGAATCTCGAAAGTGAAAGTGAAACTAAAATGGTGCATTCAAAAGCAGTTTCAATGCCAGGCATAATAGTGGCTCCCTGCCTGATGCCCGCAATTTAAACAGTATAATTACCCAATGATATAACTGCGAGAGAAAATATTGAAATATATATTTTCCTCTCATCTCATATTTATTAACTTTCGGGGTTCTGTAGTACACGCCATTTTCTTTCCGAACACGGTATTGGGATGTGGCTGGATTGCAGGGGTTTGAGGGGGAGGGGGGATGCCGGCTCTATATCGTGAAGTCTATCAGCCATCTGCGATGGACGATCGTCTATAGGCCCAACCCTAGTTCGGAAGCCTGTGCAATGATGTAGTTTCCTGACATCCATCGACTGAACAGCGTTTTCTTGACATGTTTCCGTGTTGAAGTTGCTCAGCAATGGCATGGACGCAATGTTTTCTGGGGGTTTGGCAAAAGGAGGGTGGGGCGATGGGCAGTGCTCGGGGTGGTGACTGAAGGCGGTGACTGAGTAGTTCTGACGTCACCATTTTACGGAGGTCACAATGGCTCATGAAAAGGCACAGCTACTTTATGCAGGCTGTGTGCATTTGTCTGTGGATTGACTGTTTTGAAACGTACATGGTAGTTACATAGCCCTTAGACCTCAGTTATCATGAAAAAAGCCAGGAAATTTCAGTTTTGACAATATGGGACCTTTAAATATAAATCGAATATCATTTAAAAAATAAACTGCAAATTCAAAAGTAATAAAATAACTGTTGAAATTATTTTGACTATTTAAAAAAAAATCTATAATTCTGTGTATATATATATATATATATATATATATATATTAGTATAATAAAATGTATAAAATAAAATATAACAGTTACAAATTTTTTACTTAAAAAACTTGGTAAGTAACTGATATAAATAAGTTTACAATATATTATGAATGAATGATGATTGTTAAAAAAATTCTCAACTTTTGTCTTACTTGTGTTTAAACCTCTCACAAAGTCCCTCTATACAGTCACAAAAGATGGAGGAGTCTACACCTTCTTGAGCGTCCGGCTCCTAGTTGGCTGCGCTGCGCGGGACTATGATGGTGTTTGGGTTCTTCAGCAGGTCTTGGTAAATCACAGACACACTCTCCACAAACTCTGTGAAAGTGAATGAGGATGAGATCATTCCGATGAAAGACGGAGCCTCGAGTAACCATAGAAACGCTTTCACAGGGTAGTGATGATGTCACTCTGGTCTTCTGTTACAACCGCAGTTAAACTCAAGGTCAGAACGGCTTTTGTTGTTAGCAGAACCTTTAAATATCACCAGTGCTTCTGTGATGGGGTGCTTGACTAATAAGACTGGAATCTACTTTTTTTAACATCAAGATTTTACTTTTCATTTTATTTGACTGTATAAGGAAAACCGTTTATGTTATTTTATTTGACATTGTTTTGTTTCAATATTTAATTCAATCTGAATTCACTTAAAGTGTATTTTTTTGCAATAAAGTAGGTTCTGTGACTCGAAACTTTAAGAACCGCAATACTACCAAAGTGAAAATTTTGAAAAATACAGCTTATTATTACAGTTATAATTGCAGCTTCATATTGTGTTATATATTATATTATATTATAAAGTTTATTACCTTCATAATAGAACTGGATTTGGAATTAATAAATAAAATCTGAGAATGACATTAGACAATCAGGACAATCCTACAACAGAAAAAAAAATCTGTTAAATATCAATGGGAACGGTCAAGGAAACATCAAAAAACAAATATGGATCTACCTGGCTGCATTTTGTACCATCTCAGTAAGAAAGTCAGGACACAACAGCAGTAAAAGTGAACTGTATTCTGACATTGCCAACAGATCTGCAAGAAGAAACAGCCGTATTTGTTCACTGTAAACACACCAATGCAAGCAACTAAAGTAAAGAGTTATGGCTTAACTTAAAAAAATCAGAATCTGTCTGAAGCATTTCCAGAAGACATGGATGTATCTTCCCTGAAGAGTATGTGATTCCCATTCTTCACACTGGTAAAACTGTAATGTAGCATGGTAATATCTGTATTTAAAAATATTCATATATAATATAGTACTAATATATTATATATAAATAAAATATTATAATAAATAAATAACAATAAATATGTCCATATATAGGACATTCGTTTCGGCTGGAAAGGAAAAAGAAAAGGCAATGTCATGACAGTAGTGTTAAAAATGTCAATGCATCGGTCAATCATCTGCAAGCCGTTATCTTGGAACCGACTGCAGTTTATCAATGTACGAACCATCAAAACAACCAACCAAGCAATAATAACCGTAACAACCTAAATACTCGTCAACAGTGAGGTTGAACCTATCCGTGTTCATTTTCAAGGTGTTTTATGGTTTTAAATTATGTGTCTTAGCTGGGATGCAGATGCGGTGCATGACTCAGCTGGTAACCCATTCAGAAAGGAGTCTCTAAAGCTGCTTTATCGGTCAGTGTGCCCACTCTGCACTGCGCCAGACACAGCATGCGTACGGTTTCTTAGGGCTCAGAGCTAAAATTGCGGGTAAAACGTTATATTAATCCATTTGAATAGACTTTATTCTTTTATTTAAAAAATATAGGATCACGGGAAGTCGATATTTGGGTTTTGCCCAGAAACATTTATTTTGTATTTATGTAAGAACCTCAGTATCTTTGCTCAAATTCATCCAGGGATATAAACCAACC